ATAAATAGTAGAAGAGTTCAGATGAATATTTTGTTGGATACCATTTATTTATTAATTAGTTTAAGTATTTAGGCAAACCTTCCTTATCGCAACTCTTGGTTCTGAATATAGGCAGGTAAATGATTCCAGCTGTGTGTTGTAGAAAAAGATTTAATTTGAAGCTGAACTGTGATGTCAAAAAGTAATGTTGATCATAATTGGCCTGAGTGAGAAACTGCAGGATGTCTTTATCTTCAAAATGGAAATGCTGTCTTTGTTTTGGAGCACACTAGCCTATAGAGGAACTTAAAGGTAAAGTTCACAAAAAAGGTCAATTTGGAACAAGTGAAGGGTAAGTAATGATGATAGAATTATCATTTTAGGATCAACTACCCCTTTAAGTCTAACATGTTCATATTAAACTCCCCAAAAAATAATTTAGATTTCAGGAAGATTTCCAAGGAGTTTCAAGCACTGAGTTTAAGGATGCTTGTATACTTTTCCCCCTAAAATAAAAAAGTAATCAAAGGACTTTGATATTACGTTTTATTTTCACTGATCGTGTACCTTGAAAGCATGAATATGTTTTCTTGAGACTTGCTGTAATTTCTTCTAATTTAAACGTGTAATGTTTCCATGGTAACATTATCCAGCCTGCTAAGATACATGTTTTTCAAAACTGTTAAATGTTTTATGACAACTGTAGGCACGTAAGTTTTAAAGAGAGGAAAATTATTCATATAACACAGTTAGCAACTGTTTTTCACTACCACATGCGTTTATGAAATTAAAACTCTCTTTTATTGAGTTAGGTTACATTATAGGCATATTGCAAATTTAAAGCCTAAAAATGATTTGTTGTACATGTAGCTTGTTTTCCTATCCTGAGAAAATGTTTTCTTTATTTAAATGTATATAAAAATAAAATTAAAACATATAATTCTGATGTATTTATATATAGCTTAAAAGGTACCTATGGGGAAAATCATCTAAGCTGTGATAGAAGAATAATAGAAACACAAGTATTTTTTTAATTTCCTGATGTTAAAATAGGATGCAAATCCCTCCTTTTTTTGAGGTCCACCGCAGCATAACGTCCGATTGCGGTTTTCCCACCCACCAAATTGATTGAGAGCCGCATATTAACATGTCTCCATTGTACACGTATAATCATATCAACAAGACAGGACGTGCACGAAGCAACTGAGAATAGAAGATCTGTTGGGCTTGCTGTGATCATTAATCATGATCAAATGTGATCAAGAATGAGTTTTACATGTTTAAAACGTTTTTTAAAAAGTGTGTGCTTGTAATAAATTACAGCAATTTTACCATCTTTAATTTATCACCACAGCCACAAGTCCATACAATTGCAAAAGAAGATGCTTCAATCCTGGTTTGTGGACGTTAAATCAGGTTTATATTGTACATTAACATAACGGATATCCATAAAGCAGTGGATATTAATGTGCATGCTGTCACACTTGCCATGCAGAAACTGTGTATGTGTGTGAACTTTGTAAGGACACTGTGTGTGACTCATTGCTGCAGAAGGGCTTGAATTAACTAACAAATACATCAAATAATCATTGGGAAAGTTCTTACTGTAGTATTTCTCACAAATGTTACATGAGATCTGCTTCCTTGTCACTGTGCTGTTTATCTGATGCAGCCAAGGCAGAAATTGAGGCACACTCTGACAGGCATGTGCATAGGAATTGAGGGTGGGGAGAACTATCAAACAACAGCTACATGGGGTTCAAAGCAGAAAATTCCAATATTCTGAAAGGTATAATAAATAATCTGATGAGTGTTTTGAGCTGAAACTTTACAGACACATTCTGGAAACACAAAAGACTTATTTTAAATCTTGAAAAAGGGGTAAAATAGGTGCCCTTTAATGTTTTTGATTGTAGTTACCATATTAAGTGGTAATATCGTGAATATATACTATGCACTACTATACTAAATAAATACAATAAAATTTATATTAATAATAAGTCATTATTGTTTTATAAATATAATTAAATATGTAATGATTAACTATTATTTAAATAAATTTAAATTTATGGATTAAACTATTATTATTTACATCACTGTAAAACAACAAATTTCAGTTAAACAAAACAGCATTTAAAAATTCATATTATATTATATTATTATTATTATTGTACATTTTATGCTACAAAATGATAACCCCAATTATTTGAACAGCATAAAATAAAATCGAATAGATTGAAACAAAACAAGAAATTTTGCAGTAATTCTTCACTTTCTGTAAAACAAGTTTCAAGTTTTTCTCTGTTGTTGTTTTAAAACTGCACAGTCTGGTACAAGTAATGATTTTTATCTTGTCACATAAACATTTTGACTTGTTAGTAGAAAATAATTAACATTTATATCATCAAAAGGAATACACAAAATACTAATGTTAAATTGCACTTGAACATCTGTTTACAATGTTAACAGCGTCCTGTTCAAATTATGAAACAACTCTTAAAAAAATGTGCAATATTTCAAAGCAGCATTCTGAATTCTTGTAAAACATCTGGATGATCAGAAGAAAGCTAGATGTTATACTTTACTCTAAAATTAGACGGATTATTTACCCAAAAATGATAATTTGCTGTTAATTTATTCTCCCTCTGGCCATCCAAGATAAATGGATACAAGACTTTTTTCTTCTTCAGCAGAGCATTAAAGATGATTTATTTTAACTGAAAACTATGATCCTTGCTTATTTATACAATGCAATTCAATTGCTACTGGTACTTTAAGAATCAAAAAATATATGTTGGCAAAACAAAGTTAAAGGCCGTGACACACCAAGCTGACAGTCAGCCGTTGGGCAGGATCGGGCTGTACGTGAGCGTCTGTCAGGTTAGTTTATTTGGATGTCACCTCTCGTCAGGCTTATGTTGGAGACAGATTGCTCAGTTCAGCTTATAAAATTGGCTTTTGCTGTCTAAGAAAAAGAGAGCTCTGATTGGCTGTTCAGGTATGAATCAGTGTGAGAAAACTAAAACCGAAATGATGAAGCTAAGCAAACGACACAAAGCAACAGGTAACACAAAGAAACCAGCTATGATTTTGTTGCATTTTTTTTTTAATATTTGCAAACTATGACTTCAGATTGTTAGAAATATTTGCATGAGAGAATCCCTCTGTGGTGAAGTACTGAGAAAATGCTATGTAAATGCTGCTTTGTTTGTATGTGTGCAGCACTAGTTCTGGTTTCCCTTTGTGGAATGACTGCACAGATACTGCCACTTGCAGGTGTCGAACAATACATTCTCTCACACAGGTGGAGAATGTTTATCTGCTGTCGTCTCTTTGGTGTTCACATGAGATTTTTTGTGCAAGACGGGACCAAATGTATCTGATATAAGACAACAACACAATCATTTGTCATTGCTGCTAGTTCTTTCACATTAGCCAATCAGAATTAAGGAATATACTTTTTATGTTAAACTTAGACTTACAGTTAGGTTTATGCACTTCTACATGATTGTTATACAACTATTATTCCCCTTTGATTTTGGGAATAATTTACATTATGGTTGGGTTTAAGGGTAGGGAATAAGTATGGATTACATGTTTGAACAAAAACACAGATGTTAATCCAGGATCACATAGTACTTAGAAATCATGACGTGCTTTTTCTAAAGTTCCCAATAAGTAATGCAAACATATTGCAGTGTTTGGCTACACCCTCAAAACTAAAATTACAATTTTAAACTTTAAAATTTTAAATAAAAACAATCATAGTACCTGTCATATGAAGGGACGCTGACAATCCAATGTGAATCCAAATGCAGGTTTTATTATAAGAGAATCAGGAGCAAATGGTAACATGCGGGCAAATCATGTTACCAATGTAACCAAAACAAACAAAACAATGCAAGTGTCAGGCAAGGCAAGGCAAAGCATCGTTCACAATAACAGAAAACAAGACTCAGCACTGATGTGTGTGTGTGTCTCTGTGTTGTATACATCGTGCTTGTAAACAGTCCGTAATGATACTCCGGCTATGTGTTTGTGCAATCAGCGGAATCGGGAACAGGTGTGTGTAAGCCGTGAATGACTGGATCTGTAGTCCAAATAATGGCAGATTTGTAGTTCTATGGGGATCTACGTGTTTACCTGTGATCTACAAGGATTAGATTGCTGGTGATTGTGACAGTACCCTAAAGGTACAAAATTTTACCTTCAAGTTACCTATGTGCACAATTAAGATACTAAAGTGTACCTTTTAAAAAGGTGCCATCCCAGTGGCAGGTTTTGTACGTTTATTTCTGAGAGTGTAGAATTTTAATTGTGTTTTATTTGAATTCTAAAATTTGTCCTGTTGTTGTTCTCTGTAATCTATTATCTCTAAATAGTAACAAGTAAAAACAAAAATCAGTAATTTTGCCATTATTATATTTAATTTATTTCCAATCCCCATGCTTCTACAACCTTTTTGAATAAATGAGTTCATAAATAATAAAAAAATCATATATATTATATAATGTATTCAAATATTTAACAATAAATATCCAATTCATGTAAATGTAAGTTCTTACCATTTCTACATTTCATAATAGCAGTAAAAAATAATAAGAAATAATATGTTGCCTATTTGTTTAGTTGCCTTGCCATTAGTCAATAAAACACTTAATTTTAAACACATTAACAGTCATTATAACATCTTGAATCACATAATTAAAACAAGATTTCAAAGGAATTGTAATCAGGTGCAACAAATTCTACCAATTAAAACTCAAGTGGGACCAATAGGATCACACTGGGTCCTACTTGAGAGCTGATTCCTTGCAGGGACTTGATTAGTATGAAATCGGGCTTAATGGGTCCTGATGATAAATTTGGTCTTCCAAATCAAACAGATCAGCCTCTGAAAAAGATTGAATATTATTTATTTTTATTTTCCACAGCAAAGCCCCAAATAATTCAGCTAAAATATGAGCAACTTCTTTAACGAGAAGTTGATCCATAAATGAACATGCTGTCATTTTTTTCAGGTCACCAAGATGTTGGCTGTGGTGGTTGTACTTTTCGCCCTGCTCTGGATGCCCTACAGGACCCTGGTCCTCATCAACTCCTTCGTCAGCACGCCATACCTGGATTCCTGGTTCATTCTCTTCTGCAGGACCTGCATTTACGCTAACAGCGCCATCAACCCTGTCGTTTACAATCTGATGTCCCAGAAGTTTCGCTCGGCCTTCCGCGGACTGTACCGCTGCCGTAGGGAAGATGTGCACCAACGGACACTCTCAATGCTCCAGAGCGGATACAGCCTAGGAAGAGACCCGCGAATCTGCAGCAACGGCACCAGAGACACTCCTAAGAAAGTCGGTTCAGTCACTCCAGAGCAGAAACAAAACAAGGGCTTTGAGAACAAGGTGGAAAATACAGACAGGCAGATTAGTGACGGTGTTGAAAATGAGATTAATCCGAGCATCAAGAAAAATGCATGCTCAAATTGTGACATAGATGAATCGAAAACCTCAGAGATGCCTACAGTGGAGGACGTGGACATGAGCAAGATTAATGATAATGGGAAAATAATGGAGGAAAGCGGTAATAGTGCTCAGGATATTATCGCTGACATGAGCAACACACAGCAGACACAACGAGTGTCCGGTGAATTCACATCTACTCTGGGGGAAGCAGAACAGAATGATGCAGAGCTCAGTCACAGTGTTTTATAGATCACTCCACTACTATATATATTACGTTGAAGTGGCGGGGTTGAGCCTGGTTGTTCATTTCTAAGCCAGATCTTGAAATTGGAAACTTGTATGTACTCACAGGCATCATTCTCTCTCTCCAGTGAAGGTGACGAAACACTCTCTTCTCGTGATTTGCAAGTGGAACCATTTGGCTGTTAGCACCAGCATCACATGCCTCCTCACTTGGGATGCTTGATGTGTTCAAAGCATAATATTGTGGTTATTCAGACAAAACATTTTAAACTATAATTTTGCTCTCCTATTGCTGCTGCATAGTAATGTAGGTGTATAAGTACTATTCTATATCTAAATGTATGATATAAACTTCTAATTAATATCAAGGGCGAAATCAAGGTTCGGGTCCCGACTGGACAAGGAGGCCTGAATGTGTGGAGTTTGCATGTTCTACCTATATTTGTGTGGGTTTTTTCTGAGTGCTCAGGTTTACCCCGCAGTCCAAAGACATTTAGGGCGTACTCACACCAGGGGCAGACTGGCCATCTGGCAGACCGGGCAGTTTTCCCGCTGGGCCAGCTTACTTTTTGGGCCGGGCTGATCATCTTCTTATGATCTGATCAGTACATAACACACTTACCAGACTGTCGTGTTTTTCTGCCTAATTAATTGACAATGATGTGATCTGTGATACTCTGAAAGTATGATGTTTCTTTTTTCGAATAGACCGGTCTGTGACATAATCTGCAGCCCATTGGTTCTTTTCTTTATTGACATTGGGCTGACCCAATGATCTCAAACTTCCATTTTGGGCTCTGTGTGAGCGTGCAATGTTGGTGTGTATTTTGTCAAAATAGTCGAGAGTCAAGCCTGTTTCACGTGCATGTATGAAGTGCAGAAACAGTGAGCTAATGTTTGCCTTTTGCATCTGCAGTGCACACAGATCGACAACTGTTGCACAGATAAATATATTCTTGTCTATTTTATCTAGTTATAGATATGTTCTATTAATATTATAAATATACCTTTTTTCTTTACATCTGCACCAAGGCCCGCGGCAACTTCCTCCTTTGCTGTTTCTTTAACCTGCAGGTCTTTATTTTACAAATAAATTATATAAATCATAAAGAATTTTTGCAGGGGCAGACTGGCTATAGGGAGCACCTGCTCCACTACCCCACTTTTTATAAACGTTGCGCTCCCCACCCCCCACCCCCACCACCGCTCTGCACTTTGGCCAGACCTTCAGTAACTTTTCCCGGTTGAAAATACTATCCCAGTCCGCTCCTGACTCACAATGTACAGTTGCCTTGGACTAGGCCGAACCACCCTTGGCACCCCTCTCATCTCCCCCGACGGCTCGCACTCACATTGCATTCCTGCCTGAGCAAGCTTATGTCATCGATGATGCACTGTTCAGTAAGAAGCGCTCTCACTCATCACAGTGGAGATTTCTTTATATCATTTAAGTTGTTTGAGAAGCAGTGACACGCAGTCAAATATTTCGCTGAACAGATCAGCCACTTTTGACACTTATAAACAATCATAAAGTCCTCATGCTGCAGGAATTAGGAGGTTTGCTAAAGGTGGAGCTTTTTAGGCACGTTTCGTCTTCAGCCAATTGAACAATGCCTGAGCCCGATTCAGAGCACTCACACTTTTTTTTAAACGATCCAGGAAACGGACCTGGGCACAATTTGGATAGCATAGTGTGAGTGTGCCCTTAGTACGGGTGAATTGGATAAACTAAGTTGTCACACAACTAATAGTGTGTGGATGGGAGATTGTGTGGGTGTTTCCTAGAACTGAGGCTTGTAGTCTCAGTCCTGGGTTGCAGCATCTGCTGTGTAAAGAGTATGCCAGAGCGATTGGTGGTTCATTCCATCGTGGAGACCCCTGATGAAGCAGAGAAAAAGTTGAAAGGGAGTGAATTAATATTATTCATTCATTCATTCATTCATTCATTCATTTTTCTTCGGCTCAGTCACTATTTCAGAGGTCACCTCAGCAGAATGAACCGCCAACTATTCCAACATATGTTTTGCACAGTGGATAGCCTTCCAGCCACAACCCAGTACTGGGAAACTAATTAATATTAATAATCCTAAAATATATTTATAATATCTAAATACTGAAGCAGCAACCATAGAACAGAAAACTCACAAATGGCTTAAAGTCATTAAGAAGGGGAAGTAACAATAGTTTTTCTGTCCCTATTGTGAGGTATGTTCTTAAAAATAAAGGCTCTCTATTTTTATCAGTGGTTCCATTAATGAAACTTCTCTCGAGGGACGCAAATCAGACTTCTATCATTTAGTCTGCTTAAATCCTGGCTCTTTCTCACAACTGACAAGCTTGCATTCAGATCATCCAATTAAACAACAGATGGACAGAACCACATTTCCACCATACATTTTTTTCAATAATCTGTTTCATTAAAATGTCACAGTACAAAAGGAACGATATTTCATAACTGTCACTACTTTCATTAGATTGTGACTTCAGACATCAGTCCTTTATAAGGTGTTCACACTTTTGCTTTGGTTTGATTCTGCATCATTCGCACCACCTTTTGGAAGTTTGTCTCTATTTGCACTTTTGCATTGATTTTGTAATCCTGGGTTCACACCATATGCGAAGCATCAAGTTACTACATTACTTGTGGAATGTTTTTTATTTATTTTCTTTTCGCTTAGTCTCTTTATTACTCAGGGGTCGCCACAGCGACTTCCACACAGAAATGACAACTAACCCAGCCGAGACTCCAACCAGCGACCTTTTTGTTGTAAGGCAACAGCACTACCCACTGCACCACCATGCCGCCCGTGGAATATTTTTGTCTTACGCAATTTTCTGCTCAAGTTAAATTTTTTACTCATACAGAGGATGGAAATGGAGCGATTTCTATGCTTGTGTGAAAAACAAGCCGTGCATTCCAAGTCATTCACAATTCTGGCAAATTGACCTACTTAAAACTTCCATTTGGTGTGAACACAGCATTAGTGCAGTTCATATGTGTGAAGTGTGGACACTGCAAAAAATACTTTTTGTTTCTAGAATGGAATGTAATGTATTTTTTTATTGAATGCCATTTTCATGACAAGGACATGTCAATACTAAATATACAATTAAAAACAAACAAATGAGCATAAATTAAATAAGATTTTTGGTGTTAATACATTATAGAAAAATTTATTTTTTTGTTTCTAGAAAAAATATTTAAAAAAATAACAAATCAAGAATTTTTGAAAGCATTTTCTTGACAAGTTGAGCTAAGGCTGATGTTCAAAAGATTGATTTTATTTTGAAATAAGATTATTTCACATATCCGATTGGCAGATTACTTTGCTTGTTTTAAGAAACTCAAACTTAAAATTTTAGTATTTCTGGAAACAAAAACAATGCTTGTTTTGCTTGTCAAGAAAATGCTTCTTGATTGAACAATTTTACATATTTAGAGAAGAAACAAAACAAAGGTCCCTATCATACCCCCGGTGCAATAAAGCACAAGATGTGTTTGGGGCGATTTGTTGTTATTTCCAGACCAGTGCAAGCCTAATTTTCCCACTTTTCAGTATATCCATTTGCGTCACTTTGTGGATTCATAGGTTTTCTGGTTTATAAAGAAGGTGTGTTAAGACGCACTGTGGGTGCGATGATATTTTGAGGAACTAAAATAGACTGCGCAATTGACCAGCTGAAAGCAGGTCTAAAGTCCAGCGCGGAGCGCATTAGTTGTGTAATTTAAAAGCCTACACATTGCTTAATACACACAGGATGTACAGCAATACACAAATATCCTTACAAATGAAACAGAATTAAAGGATTAAAATATTTTAAAATGTTATTTTCTACATAAATATAAAACTGCCTCTACCTCCATGCAAATCTTTGCACTTAACAAACTAAATTAAATATGTAGGCTAATGAATGTCTTCGGTGGAGTGCGTATACCATTCCATTTTTCACAAAAGTAATGGAGTAAAGTAAAGAGTAAAAGTAAAGAGACAGAGTGGAGGAGGCTCATTCTTTATTCTTGTGCTGCAGATGGTCTGTTTTAACCGTTTTCTCTCTAGTAAAGCATTAACCTTTTCACTTACAAATTCCAGCATGCATAATGGTGTGATGCAACTGACTCTTAAATTAATGGGCAATGAGACTGATTGGTTTAATGCATGTTATGCTCAAAACACACCCAAAACTCATTAAGAGAATAAGCACAACCCTGTTAGACCATGCGCCGTGGCGCAGAGTATATTTTTCTGTCCTTAAAATAGCAAAAGTGGATTCGGACACGCACTTAATGCTTTTGCTCCATGTGCTTCAGACTTTGCATCTTTATTGTTAAAATAGAGCCCAAAAACTCTTAAGAACAGCATTTTTTTAAGTAAACATGTGTATAGGTACTTCTTATTTAATTCTGGTGTGGTTTGATGGAAATATAAACCAAAGACATCTAAATTAACCAAAAACAGGAAGTTGAAAAGGACATAATGATGACACATACCTTTTTTTTTTTTTTTAAACCATAGAAGCTTTGTTGCCCATTACAGTTTAATACAGTCATCACACATGCATCTGTTTGCAGAAGATCTCAATTAAGAATTCCTGCTGCTTTTTTCCTTTGCTAGTTTTATAAGCTCTAAACGAATTCTGACGTCATCACATGTATGCACATACAAGCATGTTTACACAAGAACCTGCAAAATATACCTACTTCATAAAAGAAAAAAGAAAAAAAATATATATATATATATAAATTTTAAGTTTGTCAGTCTGCCTTTTTACTCCAGTTTAAGAAAAACAGAGAGGGCCAAACTACAAGTGTGAACACCCTAAAAAAAACTTAGCAGTTGACCCAAAAATGAACCAAGCGAGAGAGAAAAAAAGACACACAAACCAGTGTGGCTCTTTCACTTTGAAACGGCATATTTAATTAAATAGCAGCCTTTTAATAATCACACAAGACCATATCGCAGTTTCAATTTGAATTTAATTAATAGTGCAGCCTTAGCTGAAGGATC